GGGTGAGATTAATCTGCAACAGTTTAGACATCAACATCAAAAACTACACTAGTTAGATGCTTAAAAGGATGACTTCGCTAGTCAGTGTGTCCTAAGGTACTCATCTTTACGTTAGGGTGCATGAACTGCACCCTAAAGTGCATTAACTTTAAAAGTTACCTAGATGACTAGCTCAGATTTAGATGTCTGCAATGTAAATTTATACAGTTACCTGATATTACTCTTACCCCATTGTCTCACACTGCATTGTAGTATACTTTAAGTATTTTCCATCAAGAGAAAAAGATGTATTTGTTACAATTTAAGATGAGTTTAACTTTCTAGGGCTTTATTCATGATAAGAATCTCTCCCAGACCAACAGATGTGTAAAGCTTAAAAGCTACTATAAAAAGGACGTCTATCACCAAAAGGAAGACTTATCATTAAGAACATAATTATTTTCATTAAGCAACCACTCAGCAACGGTTATCATACCAGTGTATAACCAGAGTAGTTTCCAAAAAGCATTGCTATTTGAAGTAGTATTAACAGCTGAAATTTCTGACCCTACCTTATTAACTTGAGGAACTTTCTGCAAAGAAAGGTGTGAGAACACTGAGGTTTAATCTGCTATCAAAGAAAGGTGGCTGGGTGGACCAATAAGTGAGGGAATATCCTAACTCTTACTTCCAGAATGACATCAATGAAGTCTGAGACAGAGAGATTACAAGAATCCTTTGTTGAGAACCTGATACATCTTTCCAGGTAACTATTGCTTTAGAGACATGCTCCAATGACAAAAGCCATTCGGACAAAGCATAGCAAGTCAAAGATGACACCACAACTTTGAGTTCTGAGACCTCAGTTTCCTCATTAATTGGTAAAGAGGACCTAGATACTAAATCTGCATCAGTCAGGGTTATCAAAATCATCAGATCACCTTCAGTTTTTACCTATGTTGAAACCCTTGGAACTGAAAGAACATTGAAATAGCATGGGTCAGTCTGCCTAGCTATGCTATCAGAAATATTTTTGAGTGAGACTATGAACAGCATTTATAGCAAGTGCAGAATTTTTGATACTGTTTATTGATATCCAAAGCAAAACAGAGCTATTTTTGTCAACTCAGAGTTTTGAAAGATGGCTCGCAGGACACTTGTGGGACAACAAGCAAAAGCACTTAATTGCATCAGAATACCTATGAGGAGATCAACTACACAACAGAAAAATAAACTAACTACTTTAAAAGGAGTCAGATATGCCATTAGGAAAAGATGAAGGACTAAGGAAGTACTGAGAGTCTCTCTGTCAAATCAGATAACATTTTGTGTGACCATACAGGTAATTCTGTAATTTTTACCTGTAATTTAGGAGGAACCTCTGTATTAGCAACTAATGAGGATTTGAATTTTGATTGCTGGATGTGATTGCTAGCATTTTAGAGGACTGGAAGAAATAAGTTTATTAAGTAAAATCCTTATGCAACAGTAATTAACAAACATAAGGAGGAGCAGAAGTTGTCTGTTATTCTGCAGACAATAGCTGGAAGTATAAAACTTGCAGAGAGGTGGAAGTTAAAAATAAAAATAAAATATAACAGAGAGCTGGTATGTACATATGTATACACACACTCACCAGTTACAGGCAGGTTTATAAATCACACAGGTATAGTCAGAAGCTAGTTATGTAACTGTTAATGGAATGATGTTACAGCTGTTAATTTTAAGTCCCATACAACCAGAAATCTATCCTAGATAAGAAAGGCAATTAAGAGTCACAATTCATTTTATTTAATTCTGCTGATTTATGATTGAATTCAGGGCTATGCCACATTTCTAAATGTTTGTTCTATAACAGGGATAAAAAAAACCAGGCAAACCATTTTACTAGGATTGAAAGAAATGAACTGGCAGTCCTTTCAGTTAGCTAGTCCTTCAGTGAAGTCTCCACACAGAAAAACAGGAACAGCTTCATCTTAAGTGAACAGGCATTTTTACCAATACCTTTGCATAGCTATTTGATGCTGGAGAGAAAAGAAAGGGAAAAACGTTACACTGACTGTAGTTTTAGATGATACTGAGGGAAAGAAGTATTGCAAGAGTCTCTGATAGACAAATGGCAAAAAGCATCCTGCAGAGAATGAAACAATTTTTTCTTTTGATAACCAGGATTACATTAGAGGCACCATCCTGAATCTGCACACATGAAGGAAGATGTTCAGCTTCCTTCTGTCCAAGACAGCTAAATCATTATTTCTTTGGCATTAGAAGAATATCCTCCCACAAACTCTTTGCCTCTGAGACAGTTCTGTGGCTCCCAAATACAGCAGAGACCATTTTTTGTCAAATCGACTGCAAGACTGTTTCAGAGGAACACCCATAAAGGGGCATGTAATAGAAACCTGTAGAATGATAACCTAAAGAGACTCAGACAGACTCTAGCCCTCAGGATGTCTGCTGTGATCTGACGAGTAACACGTTCCAAAAGCACTCCCAAGAGACAGCAAAAAACGGCAAAAGTAATTGTAGCACCTAGAGAGGAACATTCCTACTCAGGAAACCCAACTTCATTTTACATCCATCTCCTTTAGTTGAGAACTGGCGCGTGTGGAAAAGTGCCTTCTCTTTCCTGCCTCTTCACTGGTTGCATGTAAAGGTCTGTGTATTAATCGCAACTTCGGATGCAACCCAAGTTAGTATCAGAGAGGAATAAGAAGAATGCAGAACACTGCCAAACTGCATGGAACATTAACTTGTTTTGAATTTCAACGTTACATATTTTGAAGAAGGCATTCAAGACAAATACAGATCTTAAAATGTTAATAAGGAAAGACTGAAGAGAAATTTTACACATATGAAATGTTAAATTTGTAAGCTGACATCAATAGTGAGTAACTGCTCAGAAGGCACAGAATGCAACTTTACAGGACAGCTACGCAGTCAGCCAAATGGAAGGCAGCTGCAAGGGCTGTCTCCTGACCACTTTTTGCCACGCCGGCACTATGACAGCACAAGCACTTACGTGGCTATGTGGTGAATCACATCTATCTAGTATATTACACAGTAAGTGGGTGACTGCGTAAAATCTTCTGCTAAAACAACATGAGATAAAGACAGTACCTTTTTTTTCAGTTGTACTGTCAACTGAAAACATGTCTAAGATGGTCCAAGCATCACACAGTACAAACTGCCCTTCCGTGATGGTAGCACAACATAAAAGAACTGGAGAGCATATGCAGTTAAAGGGTATTATGCCAAGGCAAACTATCTCTTGCCTTGAATATCTGCAATACAAGCATCCACAATAGAAACATATAGTCAAATATTTAAACAAGAATTTACATTGTTTTAGTATGCTAAAATGTATTTTAAAAACCTTGGGAAAATGTAATTTTTAAAATTAAGTTTTTAATATTATTAAAATGTTTATTTGCCTACCACCTCAAAAAATCTAAAGCCTGTATGAACACTAGGCAACTACAATATCTGATAGTAATTTTTTAAGTCTCTCACATTGTTATGTTTATGAAATACCTATCTTTGAAACAACATTCTCAGCAAGGTGGTCACTTAAAAATAGGAAGTTAACCCTGGTACGCTAGAGACAAGGTTATGATGATGACCAAAATATTTCATCAGGGTGTTTTGGCATGTAACCAAATAGACGAATTAGCCTATTTTAACTCAACTGTAACCTACTGTAACTAATTACGATAGCTGTCACCTAACGTAGCGCATTACTGCACAGATTTCAACAATGCATTCACAGTAGTTTTTAATAGCTAACATTTTTACCTAAGGAATTTGTAAATTTAAAATATTAAATTAACACTTAATTCCCAATAAGAGATGCAGTAACAGAGACCACACAGTCCCTATGGACTCACACACAAGTGTAACTGAACAACGTCATCCTACAATCTTCCCAAACGGTTCTCTGTTCAACTGCATGTATCTCTCCTTACTAAACACTGTGACCACACTATAGCTACGTTTATGAAAACCTAACTAAAATAAAACAAAATAAAATGCAGAGTATATTAAAAAGTATGTAAAACATTTGAACAAATGTGATTGATTGTGAACAGGGGACAAGTTGTTATAAATAGAAATGGTTTGCTACAAAAACCATGGCAGGCATTCTAACTGGTACCAAAAGACACAGATTAGATAGCCAAAACAACTTTACCTTTTGAGCAGTTACAGTTTTAAACACACTATAAAAGGTAAAATAGTAAATAAAAAGCTGTTCCTTTCAGTCTGAGTTTTAATCTTCTCTGTGGAGCTTTTTTTTCATAGTTAATGATCTCAAACTTCTTGGTCAGCTAGCCAACCCACCTTCTTTTTTTTCCTTTTTCCAGTTTGCTCATTCTGTAACTGCGGATGCTTCCCCCAGCTCTAAATACACTCAAAATGTATTGAAGCTCTGAAGTTACACTTTAAACTACCTTTTATTTTATTGTTGAATACTTCCTTTAGCACCTCTTCAGAGGGACAATGTAATTGGACAATATTATAGACTGAAATTGTAGAAGGAAAAACACAGTAATGCATTTCCCTACTAGTCCTGGAAATTATTTGATATTCTCCATCCTTGAAATTCTCAGACATGACATTAATAATTAACAGTATATGGCCTTATATCCACTGAAATTAACAGTAACATCCCAAGGAGTATCAGAGTGTATAAAATTTAGTTTTTACTTGTAATTGTCTATTTCAGAATAGACAAGGTCTATTTTTCCTAGAAAGTATAAGTTTTTAAAACAGCAATGAATTATACTGTCTCTGCAGACAACCACAAACACACTGAGTAAAAACATTAAAAAAATAAAAATAGCCCTCTAAAGATTTACTTTGGGATGGGCCAAGTTTTTTAAAAACCCATAGCATTATTTGCCTCTAAAATAATGAAAGCCTCTAAAGATACAACATGCTTACTCAGTACAAGAAAATCTCCTTTATAATTGTTGTGAATGGCACAAGTTTATACAACAGCAGAGCACTTTTAGTGTAATTACCTTTTGTGCAGCAAGATGGAGAGCAGTTCTTCGGCTACGATCAGCTCTATTAACATCAGCTCCAGCCTTCAGCAATGCCTCTGCACAGTCCAGCCTGTCAGCCAATACACAGTACATAAGTGGAGTTCTTCCAAACTGGTCCTCTTTGTCTTTCAGCTCAGAGTTTCCTGGAGGGAAAAAAAAAATTAAAAAAAAATCACATTAAACGATTAAATCTATGATATTTAGAGTAGTACTTTTTTATTATAAGGGTACTTTAATTAAAAGTAGTATTTCTTACTATAAACAAACAGAGTAATCAAAATAAAGGAATATAACATAAATCCAAAGTTACAATTTTTTACCATTTTTACTGACATTTATAGGACATTTCATAATATATTTACAGAAAAAAGTACATTCCAAAAACATCAGTTCCACAAATACACCTACCACCAGTAATATTCTGCAGCAGCGTATTTATAAATATTTTTTAAATAGTTATACAGATCTTGTCTGCAAAGTTTGCTTTAAAAAATATCAACAGCATGTAAACCAAATAGTCCTTTTGAAGCCTGTGAACACCATAACTAAAACAACCTTTGAAGCCTACTCACAGCAATGCTTATTTAAAAAGCATAAACATGTCAATAGTACATCAATACCATTATTTCATAGCCCCTCACAATACAGAAATTATTAAAATACTTCAAGCTTTCTTGAATTGATACAGTTAGTAATGCAGCAATTAAGCTAAACAAGATGTTTGAGGTCCTATAAAAAAATGAAAACATTGTATTCCTACTCACAGTAAGTAAAACAAACCCAAACCACTACGCATCCTCCACTACAAAGTTCTGTATTTCTGTTATGTCACTACAGAGAAACTAGCACCTATAAATTCAGGGCTATCAATTATCCTACACATCCCATCTCTAAATGCATCTTCCATGTAGCAATGTTGTCTACAATTATTCAAGGAATACTGAATTTTAACAGGTTAAGTTAATTTTTTCTTTTTAAATATTCCCTTGTTTGCATGGCTGTTGATCCTTCAAAAGAACTCCAGTGGAGGCAGGAGGCACGCTTCTCCTTTGCAAACACAATCTCCGCTCTCCTCCAGCATATTATACTTGTCTATATATCCAGTAATTGTATTCTTAATATCTATTGATTCACCCAGCAGAAGATTAAATGTGAATCAAGGGGAATATCAAGGATTAAAATTTGTTCCCTACCAGCCAAGCCTCTCACAAAAAACACTTTTAAGCAGGATATTGCCAGTTAGAGCAGTCCTTTACTCACTCGCTTCATTTACAAGTTCCTTTAAAACTGTTGAGTGAATACTATGTCATTCTCATTATTCACTCTGTAACATCTCCTCTTACTTAGAAATTGTGATTTCCACTGAGAAAACTCTTTCTGCTCTGTGAAAAACAGTTTAGGAACCTTTCAAAGCTCTTCTGTGAATGCAGATATAGAAACTTTTTTTGTTGTTGTTCTTCACTCATGGCCTTATCTTCTTTGACTATCCCCTCACCTTGACAATCCACTAGGTTTTATATTTATGCCTCTAGCAAATTATTCCTGGAAAAAACAAAGTCTTTTTTTCTGACTTGCCTCTACCTTCCTCAGACACAGGTTATGTTTTTTGAAGAATACCTTGCTTTTAATATCCATCCTCACACTGCTATTTGGCCATGCTTGCTTCCCTTTGACCTTCCTAAACTTGTTCTTTTGTTAAGGGCTTTTGCATTCACTTCACACTGCAAGTAAGGAGTTTACTCTTTAGACTAAGCTTTAGATTCTTCTTAGCAAGTGTTTTCATTTTAATACCCTTGACCATTTTTAGAGCACACAACTACAGTGGCTGCTGCTGCTTATCCATGTATACTCTTGGTGAAGAGTTACAAAATCTCAGTAACGCTGATTCAGGTCCTACACAGCAAGCAGTCAAGAACAACTCAGGAGTTGGTTCTGTTCTGGCTTCACCAAAATTTCTGTTGCCAGCCCATTAATGATTTCTGACAATTTAGTTTCAGGATCATATCCTTAGTAGCCATTTACCCAAAACACATGACAGTAACCTTCATTATTGTTGTTTCCTGTCAATTCAGACACCCTGATCTTTAGCATGTCAGATGCACAGTAATAAACTCTTAGTACTACAGTATCTTATTTAGACCCGTAAATGCAATCATTAGTGGTTTTTGTGTGTTTAAGCTTGTTTTATAATACGTTAATCTCATTTGAATCCAAGACTTGTGATTTTTTTCCTGTGGGGCCTTGCAAAAAAGCTGCATAAGAACCTGTCCTTAACTTTGCTTAGAATTAGGGAAGACAAAGATTTGGATATATCTTATTCATTACTCCTCACATTAAGCTTAATTTTATGGCAGTGTATTTATAAGTAATTTTCAAGATTTCAAAAAAAATAATTTGCAATATGTTTCTCAAGGGGAGTTAAAACCTGCGTAAACTGAAAGGTATTTGGATTATTATTTATGTCCTGTTATACGTAACTACATTTTCATGTGAAAAAATACTTAATATAATTTTTACTAACACTATGTACATATTTGATACTGTTAAAATTCTAATTTTATAGAATCATAGAATCATTAAGGTTGGTAAAGACCTCAAGGATCATCAAGTCCAACCGTCAACCCACACCACCTAACTCACTAAACCACGTCCCTAAGCACCACATCTACACGTTTCTTGAACACCTCCGGGGATGGTGACTCCACCACTTCCCTGGGCAGCCTGTAACATATTTTGAGAAAAAAAGTTCATGTATTGTCTTTAAATATTCACTTAAGTGTCATCTTATTTTTATTATTGAAGCTTATAGTTTTTTGTTTCTACTCAAAATGAAACCTTGTATCATTTATTAAATGCGTTAGAAAGCAGCATGTAGAAAACAATAATGTCACTTGTTTAATTAATTACATGGTCATTAAGAAATAATTCAAAATGTAACATAGGAGTTACACAGGGGAATAATTTTTTTTTTTAATTTTCCCTAACTTGTAAAAACATTTACTAGACTTTCATTTCACAGTATTACAATTCCATTGCAAACTGGATGCAATTTCAAGATAATTCTTTCCTCCACTGTTAGAAGCATTTCAAGAGTTATACACACATATTGTGAAACTGTCCGTCTTCCATCTCAATGTTTTAGCTAACAGTAAATGCTTTTTCTATTCAACAGAGCATAGCACAGAAACATCAAAACCAGTTATAAACAACCAAGCAGCCCTGTGCAGCAACATACAGATCTTGAGATCCAAAGCATAATTTAACATGGAACCACTCCCCATCAACAAGCCAGTTTCTTTAATTAACTAAGTATAGTCAGGTGCTCTTCCAGTGTTAGTTCAGTCTAGACATCACTAAACCATATTCCACCGTTCACTGTTAACATAGCCTCAATAGTGTCTTAAATCTGTTGAAGATTATGGGGCTTACACAATCACATTATTTTTTAAAAGAAATACATAAACAGCATTTCTCCCAATCAGACACATGCATGTGGCTTATGCTCATGTAACACTTGTTCTTAAATAAGTAGTGTGCAAAACTAGTCCCTCTACCTCAAATTCCAACTTCCCTTTCTGCTATATAATGTTAGAGGACATACAGAATGTAGAGACAAAAAGAAAGAAATGGGTAAGGTCAAGATGAGCAAAAATGGCCCAAAGCTCAAGTCCAACCCAGCTAAGTAGAGCAACAAATATCCAATTTCATGTACAGCTCCCAAAGAGTGATGTAGCTGATGACAAAGAGTTTCCATGACTGCAGACAGTCTGAGTGAGAAATGAGCAAGACCTTCAAAACTTGATGCCAGTGACTTGCCTGAAGCTGCTGCACAGTTTATTTCCCTTAAAAAACAATCTTCAGCTAACAGTGGGCTTCTTTCTGTTATTATTAGGTTTGCTTACAAGACTCTGTAAGGCCCTTAGAATGGTTAAGATTCTGTGGGCATTCCCCTGAAAGGGTGTCTCTGTGCTCAGGGCAAGAGACAGGACAAGGACTAGGAGCTACTATATCACTATCAGGTGCTAAGGGAGACTAAGCTGATGAAATGGAGAAACCACAACACCTTGGGGACTTCACAGTTGCAATAAGTTATTTTCCACAATGAAAAAAAACACAGGTAGCCTTCTAAGTGTTCATATATTGGTGTATTTAAAATATGCCATGGCAAAATTAAATTCTTTTCCACAGACCTACCTAAGAAAGGAAGTTTGTTTGATCCCTCCTCTTTCAGGATCAACATCCTTACCCCACTCAGACTATGCATTTCATAAGCTTGTTGCCAGTGGAGGTCAAAAACATCATGGAATCAAGTGCCCCAATTCCAATATTTAACTTTCATTTTCATACCTCATCACTCCTTCACAGCCTGTGCAAGCAGTCACATCAGACACTAATATTTCAAGGCATTTTTCAAACGAGAAGAGGAGGAAGGGCAGGAAGAGGACACAGATTCTGCTTAATTATTAAAAGAGATACCATCTCTTGCTACTTGCAAGAATCTTGCCTTTTGTAATATCTGATTTGAGTTTTATTCAACTTCCCACATTGCAGAACACGGAAGAGAGAAGCAGAGAGGAGAATCAAACAAAAACATGCAACTGCGTATTTGCAACCCAGAATTTATAGCTAACATTTACAGTGAAACATTATATCAGAGTTTTAGAAGCACTTGTATGCCAGTGATACACGATAAGGGTTTTAGAATAAGGAGCTGACTGAGCGGACACTTCAGTATAATGACTATCATACACATGATTCTGTTCTTATAAACAGTTAAAACAATTAGCTACATCTTTCTGAAACTCTGTATGAATGCGTTAAATGCAAATGATTCTCCAAACACAAAATTAACTTTTGCTCCCTTTTTACCCAGGATTAAAATCATACAGATGAGTTTTAACACTGAAGAACTGTTAATTAAAGACATGCTCAGTGTTGTATAAAATACAGAAAAGAAAATACTGTGAATATTCCCCAAAGCCTGAGATCATAAAATTCTAAAACAATGTGATACAGTACTAGGCAACTCATGCAATGCAAACAATTAGCACCTTCTGTTACAGCACTGGTTATACAATAAACACTTGGCATATACTGTGCTTTATGGTAATTAACCCATCAACTGTTTAGAAAGGCCTGTAAT